AGTGGCTTTGCATCCATTAATTAAAGTTGAAGATGATGGATATTTCAGAGGGGAAATAGATCCGTTGACTAATGCTACCTCTGTGTGTCCAGGCATCTGTTTCACAGGTGATGAGAGAGAGGATGCCATTGTAACTTTAGCTGAAGAAATGACATCAACTGCTGATCTAGCTGGAGACACCACTGACTTTAAAGGTGAAGATATTAATGGTGCTGCTGATGTGATGATGGACTTAAATGGCAAACTTGAGGAATACATATTAATGTTTGATTTGGGAGAGGCAGGGGGTGTCATGGTAATTGATGACCTCTCCAAAAGAGACCCTGCTGTAGTCACTGGAGAGGTTCGCGAGGAAAATGTAGAACTGGATGCCAGCCCTTTTAAGGGCGTAGCCTCCGTGACTGCGGGAGCTCTAACCAGGGTACCAGAGGAAACTTGGACATTGTATGGAGATTGTGACACCACTGTTTTTATTGGCGAAGACATTGTCCGGAAAGATCTAATTGGAGATGCCACGTCACTAATGGATTTAACTGAAGATGTAGTTGACGCGCCTAACGTGGATTTGATTGGAGAAGGAGTCGAAACAGACCATATTGATTTTAACGGAGAAGCTGATGGCGTATTAGAGGAAGAACTTGATAAGGAAGTGAAGCCTGACTTGGCTGGCCCGGGCACCGTAATCGGAGCTGTTGTCCAAGACTGGTATGGTCTTGTAGAAAAGAATGGCTTGTATGAGTAAGTGGTGGGGAGGGATCTTGTTGCTCCTGCACTCCGTTCAACTGTTTCTTAAATTTTAAAATGAAATCAAACACAAAAATCAACAAAAATGGTTGAGAAACAGAGAGACCAGAGAAAAAAATTGGTCAGTAAACTTTGAAATATTACAAAAGCAAGTACAATTGTTTGCATGATTTCAGATGGAAGAGGCAAAAGGAACAATTAAGTAACAGAGGGAAAATAAATGTTTACAGACATAACTAATCCAAAATTAAAAAAGAAACAACTAGATAAATTAAAAAAAAAAAGAAAACAAAAAACAGAGCAATGTGAAATGAAAGACAGTTAAAGCACATCGCAACCAAATAGGCCAACAATGGAAAATAGAGAACATGAGGAAAGAATTAATGATGAGAAAAATAACCACAATGAAAACTGTTCCCTTACTTCCTATTGACTTTCTTATGTGCTGGTTTGGAAATATCAGTAGCCGTTCTCTTTTGCCTGTATAGGTACATGTTTGTTCTGTGCAACCATATGACTCATTTTAGTCATTTCTGTTGTTCCTCCTTCTTGAGCACTGCTATGTTACAGATTGCACCTACTTAGAACCATTTCGATATGGGTAGCTAGGCATTAAATATCTAAGACTCTTTTTTAGAAAACCACTCAAGCCTATTTCATGCAGAATCCAAAGTAACTTTTAAGTGACAGGCATCTGATGTGCAAACTGTGAAGCCACTGGATTTTAAATCTGTACCTTCCATGCACAATTCGGTTATACTTCACACCCATAAAAAGCCAATAAGAGCAAGAAGTTTTCTGAGTCAGAATTTTAAACAAACAAAAAAGAAAGGAAAAAAAGAAAAAGAAAAAGAAAAGGAATGTTTGCATTTATCATTTCCATGCAGTATATTCCTTTTGATGAAGGGGAAAAGGAAAATGTAATATGAAATGGTATAAAAATGCAAGTGTACACACACAAAAGAAAAAATAAACAGGAAAGATGGGTCATGGTTACCATAAGCAAGCAAAGCAACTGAAAACATTTTATCATGCACAATATATCATGGCAAACAAGCCAATGAAGTAATACGATTTGTATGCCATATTATGCACAATATATAAACTTTAAAAATACTTTCACAAGAGCATTTTGAAAGAAGAGCACACTTTTTCCATGAGATATGCAGTCTTGGTACCTTTTGAGATTTTAAAAAGAGATTTAATACTGCACATCCGAAGATACACAAGCAATTCCTTATGTTCATGTCTATGGCTATCTTCATTATGGATAAAAGCACATGGTTTATTGTTTTTTTTTTTCTTTCCACAGATTACTTTTAATTCTCAAAAGGTATCATGGGGAAAAAATCTAAAAAGCTTAGTCATATTTTTAACACCCCACACTGAAGTACCTACAGTGGGATGCAGGATGTGTGTACTGTATATACATATGGATGTTTATCAATTACAAAGGTACTGATCCTGGTGCAACCCCAGAATATTCATGGATGCATGGATACCCCAGACACTGGGGCAGCCTTGAGACAGACCTACCACTAGGAAAGATGGATGTACAATAGTACCAGCATTCTTCTGGCAATGGGGCAAGAAACACACACGAGTCAAGCACACTTGCTGGGGGCGAGCAAACACACCCTTAGTCCTCTCTACTTCTACAACTCTAACAAACCGAGCCGGTGACAGGGATTGGGAATGCCCGCCAAGGGCTAATGTCTCCATCAAAGTGGATACAGCCTTGCTCTGAGAAAGTGCAGGTTCAGAATAATAGTGACACTTGAAGAGGAAATGAGAATCTGCTTCATCTTTTACGCTTTTCTTCATACTGAGCTTATGCCACTGCTACAATCCAGTTCCTGGTTTAGCAGCTACTCTCACGAGGGTGAAGATTTTTCATTCCTAGTGTACATTTAAATTCAAACATTCAGAACATATCCTTGTCTAGGCGTACATATTATTCTAAAGAAAGTGGAAGAACTAAGAAAAAACTCACCTATTCACTACCCCTCCTAGCCATAGTTCTCAATATTACATTGCGTTCCTCTTTTGGAAGTGCCACACTGAAAATGGAAGGTTGGGGGAGTCCTTTAATTCGATAATTTGGGCTCAGTCCATATCTCAAGAGAATTTATTTTTGTAACCACCAAACCATCCAAACATCTCTCCTTTATCACTGAAGGCTGGCTCCTTTAGGCAAAGAAGCTTTTTGGATCATGTCTCTGGTTTTATACTTTGCAAGGAACTGCCAAATTACTGATCAGTTACATATTTTATGTTTTAGTGACATATATTTTGTGATATTCTTTATAACAAAGGGAATTTCTATATGTCAGCCAGAATGATTTTTTTCCTGGGGAATGAGGAGATATTGGGGGATCAGAGGTTCAAAGGGGGCAATGTGGTGAGGAAAAACGGGCATTCCCTTGGAGTTCCATCACCAATGTCAGAGGCCTGGCATTTTCTTTGTTTTCGTTTAGTCTTCTCTTATTCCTTTTTTATTCCTCTGTTCACAACCCATTTGTACCTTTTCATCAAACAGAGAAAACCTCCCTCTCATTTCTGTCAAATGTCAAAGACAACAAGCTACACATACTTGCACTGAAGCTAAACAAAAAGTAGTTTGCACTTTCATAAATGGATAAAATTCAGTGGACTTAGCATCTACCTGACCTTACAATTCAGGTTCTCTCCAAACAAACACTTTAGGGACCAGAATCAGATGAGAACTTGCCTGCTTCAAGGTACCTCAGACCTAAAGTAGTGGGGTCATCAAACCTCTCAAGCTTAAAATGTTGCCTGGAGGTGGAAAGGTTTCCGAACCAACTACCCTGTGAGACTCGTGTTTAGGACCCAGTGAAGGCCTCTAGGGTAAAATCGTATTCCAAAGAAAACTTATACCCAATATACTTACTTGGGTTGAAATATCTAGTCACACAAGTCCACATACATCTTCCCTACTGTGCTACATGGCAGGAGTCAATTGCAGCCCTTTTGTTTATGGACGAATTTAAATATTATGGCTAGAGGGAAAAACTGAGATCTGAGGGAACATTCACAAATGTGGTGGTGTTTCATTTCTCTTGTACTCCCCATTTTGTATCTGAATATAAAAGATTCCTAAGTAGTTGAGAAGCTAAACTCCAGAGGATTGTTTAAGACCATCTGAGCTAAGTTGTGGGGTAGTTTCTGGCCACATAGTTTATATGCTTTGTTGATCCACAGATACACAAATTCAGGAAAGGTGGCAAAAAGCAAAGTTGTAGCTCTTCCTGGTAAACTTCAAAGTCTTCCTGAATTCATGTAACTATGAGTCAATGGGAAACATCTATCAACTGAAAACTAAATTTTTTATTACTCTTCCTGTAAATGACACTCTGAGGGTTCAAGTGGCATCTCTCACGCTGTATCAATCGAAAACTGTCCTTCTCTCAGTACTCTAGTATTTGTAATTAATGTTCATGGATGGGGATCTCTTGAGGGCTGTGGTGATCACCAGAGGAGATAATTATATGGATGAAGGTGGTAGAGGAAGGAGGCAGAAAGAAAGGGGGATAGAGAAAGAGAATATGACTATCACTGAATGAATCTATACCTTTATATCTGCAAGCCAGTTAACTTTGAATCAAATCAATCATTGTAAAAAGAAAAGGGTTGAACCAGTCTAGAAAAGACCATCCTGAGAACAAATAGCTTAATAAAGGATGGGGAAGGGAGAGAGAGAGAGAGCAAGAGAGAAGGAGAAAATAAGAAATTAACAAGAGCTATATTCAAGAAGGTAAGGAAATTCTTGTCAAGTGGAAGGAAAAAGAATCAAGATGACAAGATCACAATTTATAATTTAAGAAAATGAGATGATGACTAATAGAATTTTATCATCCTCTCTACCAGCCCAAATATATGGGAGTAAATGTGTTCTCTTCTGAGCATAAGTTTCAAGGAATGTTAGTATTTGTTTCCTAGCATTGTTAACCATCAAAGTAAAATTAAGATTTCAAAAGAAAAGAAATACATGTTTCTAATTTTAAAATGTTTGATGGCTTAAAAGTACTGCTTTGAAGCTATGAGCTAGGGGTGTTTGTATCTGCTGTCTTCAACTATGCACCAAATATTACTTAGAGTTCACGATAGCGTTTTCCTGTGGGCAATTTTTCTTTTGTCACTGGGTTTCCAAAGGTCACCAAAATTTAGTTTGTATAGAAAAAATGTCTCTTCTTATAAAAATTCACATAGATTAGTAAATATGTTAGGACACTCACTCATTCCCGGCTCAGTCAAGTAGCTGTAGCGCTTACGTAAAGCTAATGATGCAAAGCTCTGTCGTCTATCTGCTTTCTCGGTCTGAAAAAGAAAAGGGAAGAAAAGACGACTCTGTTTCCAACTTCCCTGTGACATTTTTACAGCTTTGAAATATTTGGTAGGCTGGCATGTTGATATCTTGTTTATTCTTATTTTTCTTCTGACGCATTTCCTTTTGAAAGTGTTATTTTCCTACTGGGGTTCTATAAACCCACCCCAAGGTCTCAGCCAAATAGCCATCGTTTGGCAAATATAAGGGCACCAACACAGCAGACTACAGGGAACTACAAAGAGAACACAAGCATCACAGAGACTTCTGATGCCAAACAGGAGATTTCCCCAAATCCGCTCGGAGTAAAAACACATAGATCACAAAGTACATTCACTCTCTGAGAGTACATTCAAGGAAAAAGGGCACATGAAGTTTATTATTTCAACTACTACTGTGGTTTTGGTATGTTGATAGGCATAACGGGTCGATGAGGAGATTAAAAACAGGTTAATGGATTTATTAGACGTTACTGTTATCGAGTCCTAACGCTCCTATTTTATTTATTATTGCTGAAGTGTGGGCTTTAGAAATTTAAGTGTCATGTAACTTGGAGAAATATCAGAAGATAGCTTGAAAAACTCTTTTAAAACTTAATTGAAGAACTATACTCTCGAAAATGGCCAAGATACGCTTTTTTTAGCTTGAATATCAAATATGTATCAACTGTTGGTGAACAAATCTTTTACATTACATAAAATAGAAGTTGATTTGTACAATAAAATTTTATACAAGGGAATTTTGAAAAGCTTATGGAAAAGTGGAATTAAAGTATGAGTTTATTTTGGTACAAAACGTATGAAATCCATGTGTAGTTTTCTCCTAACACACATTGTGAACTTTTTGAAGATGCCTCATACAGTAGTCACTGTTTTGATATAAAAATTATGATACAGTGGACAGTAGGATAGTCATAGATAGTAAATTATGTCTATGAAACTTTAAAAAAATGTGCATTTATATCCATCAATCTATTACATCTAAGATGTTTAAAGAACTTCAGTTTTTATTTTTATGTCATTAGCTGAATTATAATTTTGTTGACTATACTGAAGTATTTATGTATATGTAGAGGAAGAGTGAACCATTTTCTAAGAAATGTACATACCCTTTTACCTCCTTTAAGACCTACAAAAACATAATTTCTACGTTTCCCATACTTCAGCCCTCTGCAATTTCTTTTAAACAGACTTGATTTCTATTCTACCTCTGATAGAATAAAAGCAGAAGTGTTCATATTACCTCATCATCTTGATCTGACTCTGTCTCCTTTTGGTTCCAAGATGCATTGCAGAGACAAGGAATATTATAATGGACAGCAGGGAAAAGAATATCAGGATATGAAAAGGACTGAGTAGGGAGCACAAAATGCAAGCTGATTTAGAAAGCAAAGCAAACCAAAAGAAGCCAACAAAAAAATATCAAGAACCATACATCCCTAGCAAATTAATGTGTGACGATATTTGAAAGCATAAAACTCTATGAACTACCAGCAGAAGCAGAGCAATAAACAGAGGACTCCATCATACAAACTAAAAGAACTGGACACCACAGTAACAAGACGTAGTCAATCTACACAAGGAGACTAATACAACGTGGGTTTCAAGGCTTTAATAGTGTTACAGAGCATTCCTTAATTGCATACCAAGGGCCCACTTCTTCAAGACCAAGGAAAGACAGTGAAATAAACCAGTATTAAAAGATACCTTTTTATGTGCTGGCAGAGTGATATTTAAGTTGCAGACAGCAGTTTGAGGCAGTCCTTTGGTTGTCTTTGGTTCTTTCAGAAAAGACAGACGACCACAGGGCTCTTGGCTGGTGTCTCTAATCTGGAAGAATTCAGGTGGTTAACAGTTACAGAGAGAGACTTTTCTGAGGATTTTTGCCTGTCTAAGAGTTAAACATGGTTGTTTTCAGAGGACCTTTGAGAGACCAGAAAGGTAAAGATAGTGATAACAGTTCCGGGTCAGCCAGGGTGGTCCCATTTGAACTCGGGAAGATATGGATATCCACTTTCTAGCCTAAACACAGGACTGTTGAGGCTGCTTGTTTTCTCTAGACAATTCACAGTAGAGTTTGGATTATAAACATGTCTTTCTAATTTTTTAAAGATTTATTTTGATTTATTTATTACCATTTTTTAATTTGCTATAGGGCACATGTGTTCACCAGAGTGAGAGAGAGAGAGAGAGAGGGAAAGTAAGAAAGCAAGCTGCCAGGTCCAGGACTTGAACTACAGTTCACCATGTGGGAGTCCAGCACCTTAATCATCATGCCACCTGCTGGCTCAGTTCTTTTTCTCAAAGCCTATTTTTGCAAGAACAAAAACAATAATAAAACAATTGTTCTATCTCCTTCTGTTGTTTGAGGAGGAAGATGGCCTCTCCAGAATGTCCCTGGGCTCCATCAGAAATGAAAATGACATTTGGATACAGAATTTGAATTTCACCCAATATTTGATGACTCAACTTTAATCAGTTCTAATACATGCTATTACTCCAGATTGTATGGCTTTATAAATGTTTGCTGAACATACATGATCGTTAAGCTTTTTAAATGTAAAGCTGTTTTACTATTATTAAAATTTACTGGCTCGAAAGTAAACTCAAATAAACCTGGTAGAATTTAACCTCATTCTTATGAGTACTGGTGTGATGGGATATTTCAAACTACATAAATTATTAAAAACCCTTTTTTTTGGGGCTGGCAGGTGGCATGGTGGTCAAGGGTGCTGGACTCCCACCTGGTTGACCGCGTTTGCTTTCTCATGTCCCCCCACATCTCTCTTTCTCACTCTGTCCCTCTCTGGCCAAATTTAAACAAACAAACAAATAAGTAAAGTTAAATATCATAATTAAAAAAAAAAAAACCCTTTGTTTTGATCCTCTGAGAGCATTTCTAAAACATTTTATTTTTTGTAGTTTTTTTAAAATTTAGTTCCTTTTATACATTCAATCGCATATGTATTATGTATTCACTTAGCTGGTAAAGTGAATGTTCCAACATGAATACATTTCTCACCAGTCCAGTTGGGGTTACTATACATGTTATCATCCACAGATAATAACCCATCTCTTTGTTCCATAAATGTCTTGCCTCTGTATTTTTCTCCGTAGTGTCTCTCCTCTTTCTCCCACCCTCTTCCCACACTGTATCTGCTATCTATACTCATTTTCTATGTTTCTATATCCTCTAGTCATTCAATTTCAGCCACAGTGTAAGGACAGTTGCTAAAACATTTTAAATCAGAGACAGGGAAAGCACAATTGCATAGGAGGGAGGGAGGGAGAGAAAGGTATTTTTATTTAATTGCCAGAGAGTGCATATAAATGCTCATCAGAGACAGAGAAATACAGAGAGAGAAAATGCCCACAAATGGGGCATGATCATGCCACAATTTCTTCTCCACTTCTCCTTCCTATTGGTACACACATACACATAGGCCTGGCATGTTTTTCAAGCCACTGTGATCAAGATTTGACCCATAGTTGACTATGTGGGATCCAGCTCTCTTAACCACAAGGCTATGGGGCCAGTGGAGGTATTTGTGCCAGTGTCATGCCTTGTCTCTATCAATCATGTCAGAGTCTCCAAGTTTGGTAGGCCCACAGCACATGGCATCTCACCTGAGCTATTTAGGTTGGACCAGGAACCAAACCCAGGTCTTCCATGTAGCCTCAGCCATTGTGAAGCCATACCCTCCCACTTCCACCACTGGCTGCATCGAAAAGCATTTCCCCTCCCCCCTAATTTTGTCAGAGGCCATGTTTGCTTGCCAGAGAGAGACACAGAGAGAGGGAAAGTGAGACTCTCCCCTTCCCTGCCCCCATGGGGAACAGTCTTGTTGCAATCTTTCCTTTCCACTTCTCCCTCCCTTTGTGATTTTGGACACACATGCACACACACACACACACACACACACGCACGCCTGGCATGTTCTCAAGTCAGTTGTTCCAAGATAAACTGTTCAGTCAGCCATGGGGGATCCAGCCACCTCAACCACTGTGCCATCAGTTGGCACCCTTTGCTTTTCTTTTTTTTTTTTTTTAATTCACAGAGTCTATGTAAAGATGAGTTACCTTGATGGAAAATGGCAGTCTATTTTCCTTGAAAGCATAAAAGTTAAAAACAAGTTGCTGTCCTCCTTTGGTAAGTGGGGCCAGATTCCCATAACAATCAACATAAATAGGTTTTCCTTCTAGAACCTTTTAGAGAAAAATAAATGTTTAATGTTAATTTAAGTGGAAAGAATTTAGAGATTTTTAAGTCACGTACATTAAAAGACTAACATGTTTTATGCTGCTTTTGTTTCGTTAATAGGCAATTACTTCTATGGTGCTGTCTGCAATAAAAACAACTTCCTGTCATGAAAGTAACAATTCAATAATTGTGACTGTTGCAGACACATACAAACAGAATTATAACTTATTTCTATTCTGGCAACTTCAAACGCATTTGGGAAAAGCCTGACATCAACCGCTTTCTCATAGACTGAAAAAAAAAAAAGTTTTGACTCTTAGATATTTATTTGATTACTGGGCTTGAAAAAAAGGAAAATCATAGTATATCATGTATATAGACAATGACCATTAAAATAAGATAACTGAATTATCCACAGAAAATGGAGACCATAACTTATATTACTACTACATTTTAAATAAGTAAGATAACTCCAGAGACACTTAAAATAATTGGACAATGAATCAATATTAAATTTGTAAAATAAAACTCAATCAGTTATATACTTAATATTTGTAGAGTGTTATTTGGCCTCAAATAAAAGCTCATATCTGGAGAGTGTAATTAAATACATTTATTTTTGTGAACAAAATACCTCAATATCTTTGCTTCTTGCAACTTCCTCAAAATTCTCTTGCTGCTCCAAAGTTTTGTCCACTTTGTCATCTGTCATACAGAAACACCGCAGGGAGGATTCTACAGGATCATTCATTTTGGCAAAAACAACAAACTTGGCCATATATGGAACACATATTAACTCTCTATACAGTTGCGTGGCTAACCCAACAGTTTCTAAAACCTGATGGCAGTCTGCAAGCCAAAACCTGGGGAAAAGAAAACATAAAACAGATAAAGATGAGATGGACTGAAAAGCCAACTCTTAAAAATAAAAGAATCACGAAAAATTTCAGTCTATAAAAGAACAAACCCAAATATTATTAACTGTTCACTTAACAACCACCCACAAATTCCTTAGTGCTTTTTGTCCCCTTTATTTCCATACCTGGCTGAAACATTGGTTGTGAAAGAGCAAAGGTGTTTATTCTGTTTATCAAAAAAGAAACCCTGTGTTTTTCATTTGAACAAAATTTTGATAAGTAAATGTTAAGGATTTTTTCTCTTTCCCATAAACAAAAAATGGTATGATGCACAGTAGTTTTTATTTTTTGAAAGGCAATAAAACAAATTCCTTAAGGGACCAGCAGATGGCATAATGGTTACTATACTGGACTCCCATATGCTCAACCAAGGTTTGAGTCCTGGACCTGGCATCTTGAAACTCACGCCGGGCGTGTGTGCATGTATGTGTGCCCAAAATCCCGAGAGGAGACCAGAGAAGAGATTGTGGCATGACCATCCCTGAGGAGTGATTTCCCACTTTCTGTCTCTGTCTCTCTGATGAACGCATGTGCCCTACAGCAAAAATCTCTTCTAAAAAAAAAAAACAAAAAACTTCTCCCTCGCCCCCCCCATAAAAAAGAAAAAAACAACCACCCACAAATTACTTAGTGCTTTTTGGACCCTTTATTCCCATACCTGGCTGAAACATTGGTTGTGAAAGAGACACAGTCCTTTATAAACGTCAGAGGAGTCGTTCCTGTGATGTCTTCCCACTGAGCGGGTGAGGTGCCCCCTGAGAGAACAGCAGCAGGGACAATGACTTTATTACAGGAGACACACCTTGAAAAATGCTCATCATCATCCTGCCCTTCCTGCACAGCCAGTCACTGGCAGACTTCAGCCCTTTCCACTCAATGGCATGTGCACAAGCAAGTTGTCCTCTCTACTCTATATTCACTGCTTATTGTGATCTCCTTGTAAGGTACTGTTCAGTTCTAGAAATCACTCGTGGTTTGTCTGGGTAATGAACAGCTTAAACTTGGCAATAAGTTTGTGTGTGTGTGTGTGTGTGTGTGTGTGTGTGTGTGTTTTATTTGACAGAAGGCATGTGCACTCACCAGGGGGAGAAGACAGAGAAACTGAGAAAGCACCCCCTTGGGGGATGGTCATGCTAAAATCCCTTCTCCTCCATTCCTCCTCCTAGGATTTTGAGCACACGCACACACATGCACAGTGTATTTCTCAAGTTCAGTTCGGGATGCAGACTATAACTGGTCACATAAAATCCAGCTGCCTTAACCTCCACACCTCAGGCTGGCCCAGGTATATTTTATAACTGCAAAGATTCATTGTTCGCATAGATAATTTAAGTCTCTTACTTTTTAAAGAGGTAAGAACTAACAAGAAACTAAAGCAGCAGCTCACTTTCTACCTGGCTGAGCCATTTAATTTTCCAGATAAAGGGGAGAACCACACTTTTACTGGTTTAGGAGTAGCTTTAGTTAAATTATTCCTCAAAAACAACTTATCTTTAGTAATCTTGGACTGGCATTTAAAAATCAGATTAGGATAACCAAAGGATGAATTGAGCTCTGGATTCCAGGCACTCATCACAAAACCTATCCTCCTAAACCCTGCATAGTGAGCTAGCGGGTTACACTGGTGAGCAGGGTGAGTGGAGTATGTTTAAGACCTATACAAAGGGTCTTTAACAAGTTCATGGAAAATGAGTATTATAAAAAACGATGCAAGGATTTCAGTTTTCCTTTGTTTGGAACAAAATAAATACAATTTAACTGCATTTTTTCATGCACTTGTTGAAGTCGCCTCATAATCTGCCCAAAATCCACTCAATTTCCTCCTATAAAGAGTGCTACTAGGTCCACTACCTCTGTCTAGGTCACTGAGAAATACCTTGCTGCTCTGGAAGATTCAGTCCTGCCTCAACAACCTTAAAGGGGCTCTACTACTAAGGCTAAACTTCACAGCAGGAAAGGTGATATTACTAAATTTCAAATGACTCATGAAACTACCCTCTTCAAGAAATGATTCCGTGGATAGGACGGATAGGGTAATGGGCAGGTAAATGCTGTGTTCTTTATTTTCTACTCCTAATACAGTGCTGGCATGGGCGTTTCGCCCGCTTCATTCTTTGTACAGAATCGCTGCATATCAGTAGGAAGGACACAGTGACTTTATCAAACCTGTAATGCTACAGAGAAGGCGCAGATTGGGCGTGGTGTCCCCTTGGTATCCATTGGATACCCCTTCTCCTGAGGGCGGGGGCACCGGAATGGTCATTGTGATTGGTTTATGGAATTTTCTTCTTCTTGGTTCCACAGTGACAATTGGGCTAAATGTTGCTTTGTTTCCAAGGATCTTTTTCACAATTTCATCTGGAACAGGCTGAGCCTAGAGACAGAGAAACGACTGTAAGTGGTAGTAGACCTTTTCTTTCTTATTAGAAAGGGACCCTTTGAGAGAGAAGGAAATAGAAAACAAAAATGAACGACGACGATGGAAAGTTCATTCTTTCTCACTATGTAAGGAAAGCATGGAACAGAGCTAACATAAAGCAGAACTGGTTAGCCTGTCTCCCCACCAAGGAACAAACAGGATTGGCTTAGGTGAAAGAGAAGGAATCAAAATTCAGAGCAGAGAAGCTTCTTAGTCTAATCCAGAGTAAAGGACAAGGAACATTGAGTTCAGTAGATTTTAAATGCAGAACATTCAGTAAAACCTTGCAAAGGCAATGCACACCCATGTAAAACTGAGTGCTTTCAGAGTTAGGTAACGAAAAGGCATTCAAAATAGCAAAGGGTTTCAATTCTCATCTGCCAAGTCTAGCTTTCTCCTTTTGACTTATTCACTATTTGGTAAAATAAGTCATGATATGGGAGACAGGTGAAGGGAACATCATACCACTGAACCGTAAGGAGGACGCTTTAGTGCTGAGTGCTGACTAAGGCCTTCTCAGGACTTCAGAGAGCTCGGCTGCCCCAATCCCCCAGCATTTGCCTTGGGCATGAGAGTCCAGCCTCACAGAAAGACCATGGCCTTTCCATGAAACTATCAATCATCATACTAAGGAACCACACTAATGATTTTCAGTTCATTTTCCTTATTCAGTAAGGAAAAAAAGGACTAGTTAAGGTCCAACCAAAAATGAATAAATATAAGAAAGATCATTCTTGCCAAAATTTCCAGTCAGCTTTCCAAATCAAAACAAGTTCCAACTGGTTTGGCTAAAACCCAGCATTTATGATTTATTGAAACCAAAACATGGAAGTTTGCAAGTTTTGCTGTAACTGATTTTCATGAGGAGGCTCAGTGCATACCAAGTCCTGGGGCATTGCTTCACACACCAAGACCACTAACCTATGGTTGAAAAGTGATGTTTTATCAGAAACCAAGTGATACTCTTAAGCAGAAAACCCCTCACATAAGTACCTAATTGAACGAGTTACTAGGGCAACTTCACACTTAGTGCTTTTTATTTGAATGAGGTTAATGATTCCTGAAATGGCCTAATTAGCAATATCATTAAGGATGAGTTACGGTAACTGTTACCAGAGTAAAAACACTCTCACATGCTTTCTCCATGGATGGAGGAAAGCAGCTTCTATGACCATTACCTGGAGGCCCACTCGAATTCGTTTGGTCAAGGCACCTTCCGGGAAGGACGCCTGGACGAGGGGCACTGTGGTGCTGCTCAGGATTCCACCCTCAGGCCCGATCTGGTTGCTTTCCTGCTTAATCCGTGAAACCACCGCAAAGTACTGGGGGAAGTCCTTGGTGATAATCCTGCAGATTCGCTTTTTCCCCAACTCTTCTGGGCTATCGAGTTCTGAAATAACGAATGAATGAAAAAGCCATGAGAAGAAGCCTATTTACCAAATACCTTGAGATAAACTGATACATGAATGTGACCATCAAAATGATTCCTATTCAGTAGTCTAAGCAGTATTTATGATCAAGAGAAAGCTATCGTGGCCATAATATATCAAGCGCTGCAAACATATAAGGTAATTAATGTAAGTATGAAGGATTTTCAGTAAACTCAAGGAAAAAGTATTCTATGAAAAACACCTATGCATGGATTTTAATTCTTAATTTATTTTTTGGCAAGAGGTTGCATGCTCTTGCTAGAACAGGGAGAAAGCATGCCTTAATGGGGCGTGGTCACACAGCAATCCCTTCTCCTGCATTTTTCCATCTTGCTGGGATTTGAGACTAGCAGGCACATGCCTGCCTAGTGTTCTTTTCCATCTGCTGGGTTCAGGATTCAAATCGTGATCAGTCATGTGGGATCTGGCTTCCTTAACCATAAGGCTTTAAGGCCACAGTGCCAGCCCCAATTTTTTTTTCTTTTAACACCAAGATAAACTTGTACCTTAATTTAACCATTTTTTCCACAAACTTTTTGAACTATCCTTGTAGTTGCAGAAAAATATTTTTACTGAGGGGGAACAAACATCTTCAAACACTGACATTTTACCACACGTGGACAAAATTCCACTCTTAAGGGAGACCTCATTCCGTGGTTATTTACAATAATCTGCCCTTAAGCTGCCAAAAGCAAGGCTGAGTCAGAAAAAAGATATGCCCTCGCAAGAAAGTGACTAATTACATAAGGATGTCTGAAAGCGTCTACGATTTTATTTAAAAGCCTCTTTCAGATACCTTTATGTTATCTGAATGATTAGTGTCGCCATGATGAATTGGTCTGTCCACGATGAATCAAACACGACCTATCCACAAATGAACCTCCTTCTTCCCATAGTCCTAACCTGGAGAGGGTGTCTAATCTGCCCAATACTGTCTAACAGCTTTGACTCACTTTCTTTCATACTTAACACCTTATGGGCAAAGCCCTATTGGTTCACTTTAGAAATGGCTCCCTCTCCTGCCTCCTGAGCTTCAGGCCCTGATGTAGCTCGCCCCGGTTACTAACACCACCCCCTCCTAACCATCTTCCTGCCCCTGGTCTGTCCTCCACTGTGTGGCCAGATGGGTTTTCTTTAGAATGCCAGACTTTAGGCAGAAATCTGGTAGGTTTAATTGGAATAAATTATTTAAAACATTTTATGGGATAATGTTTGAATCTAGTTTGGAAAAATGTGCGATAGAGAATTTATCTTGTAAGATATTAAAATTCACTGACAAGTACCATAATGAAACAGTTACAGAGAGAGGCACATGAGAATATAAGGGTTATATATAAAAATAGAGAAATAGGCTAGGGATGTGAGGCTAAAGAACCAGGAAAAAGGGCCCAGATGGTGGCACAGTAATAATGTAGCTGGACTGACATAGGAAAGGTCCTGCGATCACATCCCAGGCTGGCCAAGGCTGGGGGCGGATCATGGTGTGAAGACCTTTTTGAGGAGGCAGCCTCTTTCTTCCTCCCTCCCTCTCTCTCCTTTACTCTCTCATAGAAGAAAACAAAAAAAAAAAAACACTGAATAAAAAGAAGTAAACGTTAAGTTGTTGGAAAAGGCATGACGTATTTCTTCTATATAAAAATATCACGACTTTTCTGACAACGTATATATTCAAAGATTCAAATGTGTATATACCAGAGGATGTCAAAAAGGTTGTGCAAAAATGGAATTTAAGTATGAATTTACTAGGTGCAAAAAACTTTTGAAATTCCTGTGGAGTTTTTTCCCAACATACACTCCTATGAAATTTTGGAGGTTCTTTCATGTATTTACTTTTATATATGTGTTATGTATTATAGACACTCCGGCATCCAGTAATTACAGTGACTCAGATTCAATCCTTCACCAAGCACGTACTGAGGGACCACGATGCACAGCACTGATCCAGTGAGGGGGACTATCAGAATGAAACTACATTCCTGTTGAGTTGGGGGTGGATATCACACTACTCAAAAATGAAGAAAAATAAATCGGGGTGAGGGAAGAGGATGTGACAAGGGGAGGGGGCCAGGGAGGAGAGATCCTCATTTGAGTGAGATGAACTGAGGAGACGGTATTTGAGAAGAGACCTGAGGGAGGGAGAAAAAGAGCCAGGCAGTGACCAGTAGGTGTAAAGTGTATAAAGTGAAGAAAGAAGCAAGACACACAGAGGTAGCCACTGTAGGATCTCCCTTAGGGAAAAATGTAACTTGCACATTTGTATATTTTCATAAGAGAAATCTGCAGAAGAAACACTCTAGGCTGTTAGCACTGAGTACTTCAGAGGAATGGGAAATGGAGTTTGGGGTGGGATGCTGAGAAGAGGGTAGGTAACATGGCAACACTACCCTTACACGGCTGTGGTTATTTTGCTTGTTAACAACATTCTCAAACTTCAGGTGATGGGGGGTAACTGGACTGACATAGGAAAGGTCCTGGGTTCACATCCCAGGCTGGCCAAGGCTGGGGGTAGATCATGGTGTGAAGACCTTTTTGGGAGACAACTGCTTTCTTCCTCCCTCCCTCTCTTTTGTTTTTGTTGTTGATTATTCATGGAAGCCTCTCTTCGTACCTCTGAGACATGAAGCACACTGGCACTCTTTAATTATTAGCAATGCTGCCTCCTTTATCAAATATGTGGGGCTGAGATCACGGTTTATCACAAAACTTTGTGGAATGGCAATATGGATGACTGATTAGGTAACTGGACCAAGGACATCTTCTCATTCTACACATCAGCCCCTGAGCTCTGAGATGGGAGGCTCAAATTCACTGTCGACAAGGAGAACGAAGCTTCAATCCAGGTCACAAATGGAACTCAAGGGACCAGCACATGGCATAACGGTTACACTGTTGAACTCCCACATAATCAACCCTGGTTCCAGTCCTGGACTCGGGGCTTAAAACTAATGCCAGGCACATGTGTGTGTGTGCCCAAGATCCTGAGAGGATAATGGAGGAGGAGGGATTACTGCATGGCCCCCCCCCCCCCAGCGGGGGATGATTTCTCACTTTCTGTCTCTCTGTTTCTGTCTCTCCAGTGAGCACATTCACCCTATAGAAAAAAATCTCCCTTAGAAAAAGAAAATGGAACGTGAATTTTGCTGTCTTCAATTTCCAAAAGCATCTCCTTTCCTCTAAGCAAACCTAAACACTAAGACCCTAGAGAGGGAAAATGAAACAGAGTAAGAAAGATAACAAAGGTTAGTACAAAAAACAGGAAGGAATTAAAGAATTTTTACAGGAGAATGTTCTGGGTGAGTTTCCACCTATTCAATAATTGATAGCAAATAAAAATTATCCATATAAAATAGATACACTTCCCTCCCCATGATTTGGCATTTGTTGGGGCCACAAATGGCATAGTGGTTACATCGCTAGACTCCCACATGGCCGACCACAGTTCGAGTCCCAGACCTGGTGGCTTGAAAAATCACACCAGCTGTGTATGTGCCCAAAATCCCAGGAGGAGAATGGAGAAGGGATTGTGGTGTAGCCATCCTCCCCAGGAGGTGATTTCTTACTTTCCCTCTCAGTGCCTCTCTCTCCAGTGAGTATACCTAAGGTAATTAAACAAACAAACAAACAAACAAACAAAAAACCCTCTAACAAATAAAAACAAAAACAAGAAAGTGTGAAGTGAGAATGCTCTGAGAATGTGTTTAAACTGCTGTGCCGCACACCATCATCGGCGAAGCAAATGTTTCCTCACTTCATCTGCAAAGCTATCATTGTGTTCTTCAAAGTTGTCCAGGTCTCCTTATAGTGTAAGCAATTTTTAAAAACTCTGCGTGAAATTACATCCTTCAAACAGGACAGATTTCATAATTTTACATGTAAAGTTGTGTATCCACAAGAGGAGAAGAGGCATCTTGTGGGGTCCTGAACTGCGTTTGTGTGTGCACGCGTGTGTGTGAATGTCATGGGTATGTGTGGATACACCTGTGAGGCTTTAAGGTAGAGACAGCTCTACCACCCACGAGAACTGTAATAGCAATGGATTAATAAGCACTGGTGCTGTGGAATGGAGGGAGCCTGGCCACATTTATACTATATTACCTCTGGCCAGCTAGTTAAGCCACTCTATGAGTGCCCATGCACATTTCTGGTGCAGCAGATGAGTGGTAAATGGGGATGCTCCGATTTCTTTTCTTTTCATTTCTTTTCTGCACTCAATCACTATACATCACTACAGCTTGTAAAGTGAATTTACCCAACACGAATACACTTCACACTAGTCCACTTGAAGATACCATCATTATCATCAACAGATTATCATCCATTTCTGTGTCCCATAAATGTCTTGCCTCTCTATTTTTCTCCTTGATTCCTTTCCTCACCCTCTCCCCATTCTCCCACCCTCTTCCTACACTGTCTCCAGAATCAGATTTCTAACTACAGAGAAGGTCCTGGGAAAGTTGATCAGTACCCTCCACACTGAACTTCTGACATCTGCTAGGATCTGGTGGCAGCTTGGGTACTGTGTTGTTCCAACTTAATCTAAGAGCTTTTAGTGATTCTCTGGCCCATCAAAACTTGCATCATTATTGACCTTCCATGTACAATTCAACAAGTATTTTCAAGATAAGCCACAACTCAAAGTAACAATGGGGGCCAGGCAGTGGCACCACAGTAGGGCAACTAGACCCACGTGGAAAAGGTTCTCAGTTCAGGTCTCAGGTCCTCCCTGAGTGCCCTCCGCTGATCCTGATTGGCTGAGACTGGTGATGGATTAAGGCATGGAGAACCTGTTGAGGGTGCCTGGCTCTCTGTCTTAGTCATGGAATAAACGAACTCCAAAACGAACAACAAAATAAAGGAATAATAAATGTTGGAATTTCAGACCTTGCAGCAGATGAGTGGGAATCGGGTTTGTGTGACCCTTTTTTTTAAGCCAAAGGGAGTGTGCACTTGCCAGAGGGAG